CCCTTTCCGTCTCCCCCCGCACCAACCCTGGCCGATCCTTCGTCCGAGGACCGTCTAATGACAATACACGGGCGCCGTGTGCTCGTGAAAATTAAAATTCGCCCGGGGGTCGTACACGACGTTCTCGTAACAGCGCCCCAAGCACGTGTGAGTACGTGCTGCGTGTGTCCAGGTGGTCGTGAGGGATTACGATGTAGCGATGGCGCCGATACCCTCGCGAGTCTCATCCTCAACGCCGCACCGAAAGTTTTTCGACGATTTTCCGACGATTTTTTGTCTTTTCTTTTTTTTACGTACTCTCTACAAATCCTTGGGGTGGAAACTCTAATTCTGAAGAGTGAAATATCGCACTCTTAAAAATTGACAATCAAGCCACCTCAAATACTGGCTCAATTGTCACTCTTCAGAATTAGATTCCACTCGAGAGATTTTTAGAGAGCGTACTCGTTATTTCTCTACTGTAATCAATCGTGATTTATTGTTAGGTAATGTAATTACAGATACATTCAATCGCGCTTCTTAACCCCGGAATGCTATGATTACGTAAATTTCATCTACAAATGTGCGAGAGATTACTGAGAGTTAAGCTGTGACATCGGGAGGTCCCCTCTGGGATTAAATGAAGATTAAATAATCGTTTTTTTTTTTAAATAGTTCATTTCACTTCCCCTTTTTTATTTTTTCGCAATATTTTTATAACTTCTTATTACTTTTTAACATTGATATATATATATAATAGAAAGCCATTGTTTCCGTTCATTTAAGATCTATGCAGCTTTCGGTCTCGTTATTGCTGTAAATGTCTTCTTAACTAGAAGTCTGACTTTCATTTCGAGTTTGCCTGAAAGACGAGGTAAATACTAGTAAGACAAACTTCTCCATCGCTACCGCGTGTCGGTACACGGGCAGTGTGCGTGCGTGCCGTACACCGTAGAGTGTAGCTCGTGTAGAAGAGTGAAAAGAGACGACGCGGGGGAGCGCGGAACTCGTTAAGCAGTTTGCGGTTCGTCTTGTCTTTTTTTTTTTTTTTTTCCCCCCCCACCCGGGCTCGCCTTTAACGTAAACATATTCCGCGAAGAGATCAGCATCTTTCTCCCTGCGCGCACCGCTTTTTCTTCTTCTTTATTTCGCCTACCGGTGTGTCTTTCGCCTCCCCCGCGTATCTTTGTTGTCTTATTACGCATCGGTCTCCGATGTCTCGGTCCATTCACTATACGCGCCGATTAAGCGCGAATCTCGCCAATTTGGAGGACGATCATCCGGCTCGTTCATTCTCTACGGGCGAGTGCTGCAAATTTGCAACGTTCGTTTTAAAATTAAATTCGGCAAAATTCAGAAACTGTGTAAATTAGTTATACTTGAGAACAAAAGGACGGAAATCTGTGTAGCATTGAACGTTGGGAAGGAATTAAGTATGGTACCTTCTCTATCTGCCTGTGTGTGTGTGTGTGCAGAAAGTTGATGTATAAACATCGATAGATACTTTATTTACAATATGTCTTTTTTTTTTAACAAAAAAGCAATAAAAAATTGTTTTTTTTTTTTAATAACAAGGCAATGCTAATCCCTAAAGGATTAAGCCTAAAATGATGTCAAACGATCATATCTTTAAGCTACAAAGGAAACATCTGCTTCGTCCTCTTTCTCTTCGAGGAAGATATTATTATAACAAATATCCTGCTCGAGGTTTACTTTAATAAGTACAAAAAGCAAAGCGATCGTTTTGAAACGTGACTCAAGAGACCCGTTTTATTTAAGCGCTAAATGTAGCCGTCTCTTGTTTCGGAATTTTATTTTACCAATACGAAAAATCACACAGCCAGAGGACGAGACGAGAGTCCTCAGATGGTTGCATTTAGTGTTAACTGCACGGTGAGAATGCAGGCCTATGATCGCGAAAATATACGATCGATATACGATCGTACTATCGTGGCATGCAACATGGCGATCCGGCGAGATTAGACCGCCGATTAAAATTCACGGCGTGTCCAGGCAGTATAATTTGATTTCGTAGGTGTTCGTGCAGATCGAGTTACGCGAGCCGGACGGAATCGCGGGGGGGAGGACCACCTCCCTCGCGCCCACCTCTCTCGTTCCTTTTTCCTCCTCCCCAACCCCCTTTCGGACGAAACGCAAAACGCGGCCCCGCGGGCCTCACCTTCGGCGACCGGACGACAAACTTGACGACGATTAAAATTGAAACGCGCTCATTATCGATTCGCCACGCTAATCGAGCATGGTGGAGCGCGGACTGACGGATTCCGTGAGGCTCGGGTTACGTGGACTCGATTATTTCGTTCGATTAGGCACGAGATCGCTGTGCTGCCACGGCACTTTCTCGCGACAGCCTCGCCCGCTGTGTGCCTTTGAAACTCACCCATAAATTGCGCACCTCGTAAATACTTCTGCGACATCCCCTTACTTAGAGTGCCATATATTATACTCCATGAAATATAATAGAAATAAAGTCAAATAAGGAAGTGAAATACGAATATATCGACGCCGGTTATTTTCAGAATCTAGAATATTGAGTTTATAAACGGCTGCTTGATATTAAGTATTATACTTTAGCGTATCCACAGCTTTGATTGTACGAATGAAGTTTGAATTGAAAAGCTGAGAACTTCCGAGAGTGAGTAACTATTGCGGTATATCGTATATGTATTATAGATTTACAGACTCACAGGTGATATATTTGTACGATATAATATAAAAAAATAATAATTACATAATTTACATAAAATGAGACGACATAATTTGATACGTGGTACGAAATTATGTGGGAATATTCCCTCGACGGGAATATATGTATTCAATCTGCTTCGGTCCTCCCGCAACTCGTAAACTTTTCTTCTAATTCTGGAAATAGATTGGAGGCGCCAATTAATTATGCGCATTCGTCAATCGTATCTCGTAAGAGATCTGTGCCGTGGTTCCGACGATTCCGGATCGTTTTGGATTAGCGGGTGGTCCGACGTGTCGGCTGGGAGGTGGTGATGGTGGCCGGGCCCCTTCGTCAGCCTAGATCGGTCGCATTAAGAATCAGACGGCATTAAAACGTTGTTTAGCAGGCCATTCTGAATTTTAATTCCCGCGGCCGGCAACGGTAATCGAGGTGTGGAATAGATTAGTTTTCGCTCGCACGACTATCAGCTACTTGCCGCAGGGCACTGACTGACTGGCTGATTGACTGACTGACTAACCGACTGGATCGCGGAATGACAGTTAACTCCCTGTTTTTTCTTCATCTTATGCACATTCTTCCTTCGGTTCCTCTCGTCTCCGATTCTTTTTCACACACATATCTTCTTTTTTAACATCACGTCATTTCGTTCCTTTAATGATTCTAGAAATTATGCTAATTATTGCAATCTGTTATGCATTCTTATTCTCTATATAAGAAGCGATATAAGGCTTTAAATCATATAAATTCGTACAATAACACAATTAAAAATGGCACACAATTTTAATTTTACAATTTATACGAAATATGTACAGTATAAATATGGGTATAATTAAAATGTAAAATTTCCAGATGTAATTCAAGATATACAATATAATAAACTGTATCTCTGCAAAATCACACAAAATCAGGAAATAATTTTTCATATTAAATCGTCGAGTTTAATTTTTAATTGGCACTTGACTACTATTTTCCAACGACAAAAAAAGTGAATGTAAAAAAATCCTATTATTGAATTAACTTCTTTGCATTATATGCAACGATTTTTCTTAATAAGCAAATATCATAATACGATTTGATATAATTACTCTAATTCAGCCTGTCTGAAATTTTCCCAATTATTGTACTTTACAGGAGGAAACGGCAGTGACAAACGACGAGGCCGGCGGAGGATCGAGCTCGCTCGATGAAGATGCCGCACGAGATCGCGTCCGTGCACTCGTTTGAAAAAGAAAAAAAAAAAAAAAAAAGAAAACGTGGCCGCGGTTCAAGGTCGCTCGTCTGGACCAAGTTCGGAGCTCGTTGTTGCCGTGGTAAAAAAGAAGAGGGATGATCGATGGTGAGAATCGACTGGGCTAGTCACTGTGGCTTCGTACAGGAGAAGACATCACCTTGCGGAGGAGGTGCCAGGACTCTACATTCGGCGCCTAACGCTCGAAGATCCCAGGAGGAGGGAACCGTCCAGTTCAAGGTCGCCATCTCCGGCGCGCCATATCTGTCATCCTCGTAGCGGCTGTGCGCGCTTAGCGCGAGGATCATCGAGGTACCGAAGCGGATCGGAGATCTAACACGAACTTCGTCGAGATACTTCGTCGACAAATTTAGTCAGTTGCCGCTTGCTAGGAATTCGCAATCAGTCCGCGGCCGATGATTGACAAGTTAGATCTCTGCACCTTTCCAGCTCTCGCCATGACTGCTCGCTGTAATACAAACCGGCAATTAAGCCATCGAGAACTGGTTTCGAAGAAACTTTCACGGAATTCATCTATATTTAGAGAAGAATGTGTTTTGACACATCGTTCGCTTAACATCGTACTCATCGTGTTTGAAGTTCCATTTACGGAACATTGAAGCCATTAAAAATTCTTTGAGGAAGAGAATAATTTTTTTTTTTTTTTTTGATAAATCGTGCTACCTCATCCTTCTCCCTTTATATCTTGAGAAATAAAGTCTATTAGGACGTAAAGCAGAAGGGTTAACTCAAATCAATCCTGTCTGATTATTGAATGATTAACATCGACTGTGTACGAATTAACATGGTTACGCTAAAGAGTCAAACTTCTCGAAACGACGAGGCTGGAATGCGCAAGCCGAGACCTAGCGAAGTCACGTAGCTCACGATGAACAGGGCCCTAGGAGCCCGTAATTAAACGTACTAAAATTTAACGGTCGATTCGTCGGATCGACGATCCGCTGCTGCGACTTAATAAAGCCTCACGGACGATCGCCGGCACCATAACGTTATTAAAGCGGTTCTCGTATTAAAATACGAGCAGTGTCGGTACGTCATTATCATCGACGATTTGATCTCCTTCTTCCTCACCGTCTCGGTCTCTCGCGTCTCTACCTTTCCACCGCGCCGCCTTCCATCGTTCTTCGATCTTCCCCGTAACGTGGTGAACCTGACCTCTGCGCGAGATCCGGACAATGTTACCGCGTTTACAGTGATATTATTTGGAACGTGCTCTCGTTTCAGATCCCACGAAACGGCCGAGTCCTCCTCCCACGTTCCGCCGCAGTATTCCCTTTGATCTGCGTGCCTCCTCGCCTTCCTTTCCCTAGAAGTCTTTCCAAGCGTATCGGCTACACGCTCTTTGCCCTCTCAACAATTACAACTATTGCTCAATTCAGTAATCTGCAGCAGTTTGCGTAGATCATGTCAAAGTCTTTTGAATTCTTGTAGTCGTAGTATTACAGAAAGTGTTCTTATGAATGTGATATAATATAGTAAGGTAAAATTAAGAATGAATATTAGGTTATATATAAACTCCTGTTTCTGATCAAAAAAGAGTCTGAAAATAAATGTAAGATTAAACGTGTATTAATGAAGACTTGTATATGCATTCCGTAATGTCGACATAAATTATTTGTCTCAAACGCCCAACATTATTTATGTTTTCCTGACGAGTATCGTAGGTTCTTTTAATTAACTTTCTGCTTTTTACCACTGTTATTTTCAATATTACTCTCGTTCGTCGTTTTTATTCGCATTCCTATCTTTTTCGTAGAAATCTATTTCGATTCCATTTTAATGTATCCCCTTAATATAATTTGATCAACAAGACTAAATTATATTTTCATTACAGTTTATTTGTAGTATCGCGATATTTATTTTTTTCTGAACGGACGAACGTCGAAGAAAAAGGACGACGACAACGTGCAGCACTGATAAATTTACCGAATCATCTCTCGCCATGATTATTTTCGGTGTCCAGGGTATTATTTTTCCCCTCGAGCTCTTCCCGCGCTTCATTCTCCATCGCGCGAGCTCGCCTTTTTGCTCTCGCTATATTTTTTCATCCCCTCTTCTTGTTCAACTTGCGGTTCAAGGTCGTAATCTTCTCGAGACCTCCTTTCTTTCAACCAGTTCTCCGCTTCGTCTCCCTTTTAATCTTTTTCTTCTTGCCGTTCTTGCGCCTTCGTTTTCGAAGTTCAAGGCCTTCCTCCTCTTCTTCAATATTTTCTCCCGACCTCTTCCTTATGCACTCGAACTTCTTCGACCTTATTCCTTCTCCTCGTTTCCAATTTACTCGCTCCGTTCTCTCCAAACTTTCCCCTTCCACATCCTATCGTTGTCCTTCTTTTCCTTTTCACCTCCGTCCATTCTCCTCGTTTTTCACTTTCAACCGCCTGCCACTCCGAAAACTGAACATTTTTCTTTCTTCATACTTCTTTTTATTTCCTCATTTCTCTTTTCTGCCTTCGTACAACTTATGCATTATACGTTCAGCTATTTTTTCGTATATTACTTCTCTTTCTCTTAATATAAATTTTATTTCCTTTCGTATTATATAATATCATTGAATAATTCTAATTTCCTTTTCGTATTTCACTTTCGGCCGTTCTTTCTATCAACTTCGTCTTCCTCGTTCCTTTTTGTTGCCCCCCTCACGTTTATATCCCTTTTCTCGGCGTTTCCTTTTTGAAGCGTCGTGCCCTCCAGGCTTCGCAATCACATCTAGTTATCCAGTTGTCTGAAGTCGAAGAGGACGAGCACCCTTTCTCGTTGTCGTTACAAATCCTTTCTGCAACCGTCCACGTGCAATCATCGTGGCGGGCGATCATTACAAAGTGAACGAAGCGAGAAGTGTTGCTAACTTCGACGTGACACGAGCCCTGCGGCCCTATGCTTGCCGTCTCACGAAAGGCACGTCTTTACTTTTATTTCTTCGCGAATGTTACGTAAAACTTTCCAATCTCGGAAGTTGCAATATTTCTGACTATTTATTCAATATTTCATAGAAGGTACCAAGTTTCTCAAATATAATAGAAAGTGTATGTACTTGAACTATATTTTTGGGCGCGTGACATGTTTAGGTTTAAAGAAAGAGTGCAGCATAGATTACTGTACACTGAAAGAAAAAAATTGCTACAGCAAATTAGATTTTTAATTGGCTGTAGCAACCAATTATAAATGCTATGCCATATTTAACCATCTAATTTGCTGCAGCAGTCCATCTTTTCTCTCAGTGTATTCGTATAAAATTATGTATTATTATAAAAAGATATTAATTTTATTTAAATCCTGTACTTGTATTTAACCCTTCATCTGTGTATTCATTTTATGTGTATCCAGCTACAAATCTTGGTTGGAAAGGATCCGAAAGGAGAGTCCGGCTTTCTTAACAATAGTATCTCTAGAGCTTCCGGAATCGCCGATTCCCTTAATAGAGTCTCAAGCAAATGCTCGTTGGAGACGTGATGAGTCCAATGAAGTCATGAAAGACAAGGATGATATCTTGGATGAATTTTTGAAGAGGGTCACAGAGATTGAAAAGGATAGGGAAAAGGAAGATCGCGCAGGAAGAAGTAGCGTGTCCCGGAAAAGTCGTCGCAGTAGCAAAAAGGACAGCGAATCTTTGGAATGTACAAAAGCGCCAGCTACTCTCGAGGAATGCACGAGAAACATTATCGAAGGTCAGATTACATATTTCTTGCTTAGGATAAAATAACAGATTTATGTTTTGAAAGTACAGTTACTTTTTTAAAAATATCAAATTATTCAAAATTTTTTAACGATTTTATTAAATTTCCTCACCGAAAAAAGATTACATTTTAATAAATATTTATTTGAATAGTACTAATTAAATATTTACTAAATATAAAGATATATTTATTTATTTATAATTATATATTGTTTTGCAAGAATCATTAATTAACGTTTCATTATTTTGTCAATATCATTAAGAATTAGCATTTCGAAAATATATACCATTACGATTGGCATTTTTATAAACATTTATTGAATGGTACAAATATTTCCGATCATCTTCACTTTATATGTAAATAAAACTGCCAAATCCCTATTAAAAAAAATTAATTTTTCTTATTTCCTGTATACGTTTAAAAATGACGAATTAGCAGTTAACTTAACAGTTTCTTGAACCTGCAATATTACGAAAAATATATATTTCTCGATTTAATAAATTTTGTTCTCAGTGTGTTGAAACCAATTCACACATTCGTCAAAGTTACTTAGTGTGTAACGCACTATGTAATATACCGTGCATTACATTGAAGAAAATAAGATTGCAGTCTTCTAAATGCAGATATATATACTTTCAAAGAAACTATTATTTTTGTAGAATTAGAATCTTTAAAACAAGATAAAAGATATATTTTCAGATTAAATCAGATGTAACCAGGATGATGAAGCAAAATTAGTTGATTTATTATGACTTAATTGTCCTTGAAGTTGACCGTGTTCGCGGATTATACGAATGTCACAAAATATCGTAAGAAGTTTACACATTTTCACATTTATCGGCTTTACATTTAATTACCATTTTTTAATTCACACCGTTTTGTCTATGACGTAGTTTTTTTATCCGGTCGACTTACCGTGAGAGGTCTTTCGGAGCATTTACAGCTTGCTTACTTTTAAAGTTCGATTCTAGTTGGCGTGAGTTGGAGATCGGATTTCGGAGACGTGCACCGTAGGAACCGCTGCAAACGGACCTTGAAATCGCGTCGGCGTCTTTCGCGATTCTGTGGCAATTTTGTCGAAATTTTTCCGGTTGGAGTACGAGAGGCTAGCTTAGGTGAAGCGACTAGGCAAACCTCGAAATTCTCGGACGGTTATATCGAATTACAGGGCGAAGCCGAGAAGAATCGACCCGACCACAGGATACTGGCGACGACTGCATATGCTCCGAAATACCGAAGGATTTACGAATTAACATTCGCAAGAAGACGGAGATCACATGTACTCCGTCGTGCACTCCAAGTCCGGAAGTGACTCACGCTATTCGGATTGCGATGAAGTATCACGATCAGTCGGGATGCAAAGTCGGAGACGACGAGAGTCCAGAGGAAGAGGAGGAAGAGGAGGAGCAGGAGGAGCAGGAGGAGGAGGAGGAGGAGGAGGAGAACGAAAAGCGAGCGGAGGAAGAAGCGGAGAATGGCAGGAGGACGAAGAACGAGGGGAGCAAGAAGGATCTTCAAGGTCCATCGAACGCGAGGAAGGAATCGGTGAAGCACGACGTTCGCTACGTCGCCGTTGGTGCGAACGCCACGTTGGACTTCACGCTAAATTGCAATAGCGTGCGACTCACTACTCGTGACACGAGTTTGAAGACAGCGTCAAGAGGTGAGAGGCGGGAGCGGCCGGAAACGCAAAGTTAGTTCGCGTGGGTTTCCTCTCAAAAGTGTGTTTCGCTCGAGAGCAGTTCTACACGATGGATGCTCCATTGTGGCTTTAGATATACATATCGTAAAGCACATAATAGCTTGATGATTTCCCTACCTGCTCCCCTCGTGCTTTTAGCTTGTCAGAGTTTCTGTTCGCACGCGCCCGAACTCTTTTTTTCTCTCCGAGATTTATTTTATTTTATTTTACTTTTTTTCTTTTTCATACACTCATTCATCTTGTTTTTTTTTTTCTTATATAAACAAGACAAATAAAATATTGTAAAAGTCGAATGAAATAAATTCTTCTCTCATAATAAATGAAATGATGCAAATGTGTTCAGTTTTAAATTAGAATTGAGCAAAAAAGGATGTGCGTCAGAATAACTTATCAACGGTAATTGACACGATAGCTCGATCCGCGTAGTTTTTTCTTTTTTTTCTGATAAATTCAACGTGAGAACGAATTTCGATCGAATTAACAATTCTGTCAATACGAAAATGTGTAAAAGCCACAAATCTATAGTTTTGAGACTTGCCTAAATAAAAATGTCAAAAACCAATGACATAGTATTGATACGAAACATTTCTAAATGTTGCTGTATTGTGCGATTGCTGATATTTAATTTTCATGAGCGAATATATATATATTAACTTTATTAGCATGTATAGGAATGTCATATATTTAATAAATTTAAGCTGTTAATTTCTGCTATTTTTAAAATTCAATCGAAAAAATGTCTAGGACAAATATCGGCGGGAGTCATAAATACTAAGTATTTAGAAAGTAAAATTCAAACTGGTATAATGACTGCATATATTTAACACATACAATGTTATTATCATATATACACATATATACATTCTATGTTTTTATAAAAACCACTTGGAATGTATAATGAAGATTAAAAATAAAAATCTATGCAACGTTAAATGAAGCGTTATATTTTACAGAAAAACAAGAGAGTACTATAATAACGATGGAATATATTTTTCAATAATTGATCTGTGAATGTAATTATTGAAAAATATATTCCATCCAAAATATCTAAAAAGATTTTGCAATATATATCATCATTTTAATTTCCAACAAAATTATCATCAGATTTATATCCATATAAAAAAAATCATTTTATATAGAAAAAAAAAAACGATTTTGCTGAAAGATTCTAATTTGATGGATGTAAATCTGATGATAATTTTGTTGGAAATTAAAATAATGATATACGTTGCAAAATCTTTTTAGATATTTCAGCAACTAGCTTCCAACGAAATTATTTCGATGATGCAACAGAATTATTTTCAAATGTGTATTTAGCAAAATTTTAGATTGTTCAATAAAATTGTTCTTTCCAGTGCAGAAGGGCTTTCCAGTGCTAAATATATCTAACGCTACTCGTCTCGTCTAAGGATTTACTCAATACAGACCGCAATGCAGTAAAGGCCTTAGCGCCGAAATCACAAGATTCTCTATGGAGACGCGATCGCAATGAGGAGTTTCTAGATATCACTAGAAATCACCGCGAAAACCGCCTCTTCTTTTCCAATGCCGAAAACCTTAAAGTGGGAGGACCAAATTCGCGCCAATCGGCAAAACCGCCTGTGGAATCGTGAATCTTTCACGCGCGGCAATAAATCGTAATCGTCGATTCGATTTCTGCGAACACGCGCGCGCGCGCGCGCGCGAGAGAGAGTACGCGGAGATACGTCGAGGCGGCCTATTAATTAGCTCGTCTAATAAATCGCGATCGGGCCAGAAGGCGAGAGGAAGGAGGAAAAGGGGTGGTAAAGAGAGAAGAGTGAGACGCTATCGCAGTATTTCGGTTCTTCTCGCCTTCGATCGCCGCGGTGAGCGGCGAGGAGGTAAGAGGAGGATAGAGAGAAGGAGATGAAATAGTAAGAAAGGGATGGAAGGAGGGAAGAGAGGGCAGTGTATGTCCGATCGAGAGGAGAAACGAGAAGAAGAGGAAGCGGCCGAAAAAGAGAGAGACCATCGTACGAGTTTGGTGGTGGACCAGCGCGCGAGATGAGAATCGCGCGTCTAGGCTGGCTCCATGGAAGGCCAAGCTTGGTCCAAACCGGGTGAGAGAAGTTGATCGGCCCGTCTCCGTCTCTCTCCCTCCCTCTCTCTCTCTCTTTCTCTTCTTCTTCTTCTTCTTCTCCTTCTTCTCTGTTCATCTTCTTTACTTTCCTCCTCCGCTTCTTCCTCCCACTCTCTCGCGAGGCGGCCATCGCATTTTTATTTTGTCTGTGCTACGCTGTGCGTTGCACTGCTTCTCTCTCGCCCTTTTTCTCTCTTTCTCTCTTCTTCGTAGGGCGAAAATGGTTCATGGCCGTTCCCGAGCGCCGATTTCGCCGCGGATCCTGCGCGGAGGATCGACCTCTACTCCCTTCTTTATCCTGCGTCCTCTCCTCCTGCTGGTCCTGCCACTTTATTCGCCACGCTTCTTCGCTCCGGCCGCCTCGCAGTCGCGCCGCGGTTTTTCTCCGCGGTATTCCTTTCTTTATGCACGCGATTGCATCGTTCACCTTTTTAACGCGCCGTAATGGAATTTCTGTTTTCTACCGGCTAGATTACCTATACCACTACATTCACGAGGGGTTTTTTCGTTCCAACTTTCGTTACTTTATAACGGCCGCGACCGGTAGAGCAGCGTTTGGCCGAACAATGCCAGCAGCCGTTTATCACGAGGGTCGTAAATCAATTTTTGAAATATAATAAACAAGTAATGAGATGCGGGTGTGCAAATCCATGCTATATACTTTAGGGAGACTCTCAAAACACGATCGCTTTAAAATAAATGACTCATATAAATTATCAGCGGAGATCAATACGACTTATAATGATCGTAAGATAAATGACTCGTATAAGTTATCGGCAGATATCATTGTTTTTCGCAGCAATCTTTCGCAACATCTATATGCAAATTACTCTGGCGATTTAATTTTTTTCCGTGGGGACGGCGCTATACTTTCGTTCACCGGTAAGATGATCTTATTATTACCGTCTTCTTTGATATTTCTTCCCGTATCGATATTTAAATTTACACTGCATCAATAACTCGAAATTCCAAGGTCCATTTCACGTTGTAAAAATGTCTGAGTTGGCATCATTAATTCACACTTTCGTCTCTGTATATATTTCTTGAAGTTTTCTAAGGAACACATTTTCTCCGGTTGCAAGACAATTGACCGAAAGGAGAACTCATTAACTGCGATTATCGCCTAATTAAGCTACACGTCCGATCAGTCAGGATGACGCTCGATATTTCGTCCGTAAATAACTATCCTTTGCGTATCGCCAAGGGAGAGCCAAGAAAGGCGGAGGGATAGCGTGAAACAACGCGAGAGCGTGTAAGTTCTAATCGCAAAGAGTCCTTTCCCTTGGATCAAATTACCATAAATAATGATCCCTTTGCAATATTTATACTATTTATAGCAACTCGTACCCTTTGGCTGCCTTTACGGACACCTCTCTCCCTGCCATTTTTCTCCCTCGCCCTAACATTTCTTCGACTTTCTCTCTTCCCATTTTACCACCCTGCCGCGTGTCCTGCTCCTTTCATCCGCTCGCTCGGTCGCGTCAAGTTTTCCGCCGTTTTTCTTTACTGTTTCTCGCCCGCCTTCGTCCAGTTTGCCTCTCTCCCTATTCTCGGCGTCGATTAACGTGTTTACCCGGTCGGCCGGGGGTGCAAAAACGCGCGAACGGCCGCGCCGACCGCAATCGACGTTCGCGGAAGATCGCGGAATAGGAAAACAAAGGGGACTTTGTGCTCCGCTGATGAGATTGCGACGCCTCCTCTCTCCGGCGTGTTTCTCTTCTTTTCTGTCGGATATAACGAGGTGCAGGGGAGGCGTGAGGAGGCGATGCGGAGGGGAGGGAGGTGCCAGATACGGAATTGGTATGTTGATTGTGTGTGCCGCGATGGTAGAGAAAAAAAGATAGAGGAGAGATAAAGAAGGGGAAAGAAGTGATTTCGCTTGTTGCATGTTCTAGAGAATTCGGATTCCGCTAAAGCTGCGAAGCCGAAATAAGAATAGTTTCGTTGAAGTAATTCGTGAACGGTCTTCTTTGAACTTGTATATAATAGTTGTACATGCGGGATTGTCTCCCACTTTTTGGGTGTAAGTCTATTATCGGTGCTGTAAATGTTACGACGATGTTTGAATTGCTTGCTTTGCGATCTTTTTTAATTGCTTATTATTATTTCGGAAGTAAATCATTTAAATCTGTCGCGCATTGAAGTGAATTTCAATTTAATGCGTGAGCACATCGGTATTCGATATTCGAAATTAAGATACCAGATTCGTCCCTTAAGTGGATTTCTCACTTGAGAAGATAAGGTTCAGCTTGAATAGGCTCATTAAAATTCTATCGACTTTTTTTAAACACACTTTGTGCGCCGTAAACGATCTATTCGTAACTAAAAATAATTTTTTGATTGATATTATATATTGAAAATAATTTACTTAAAAACAAATTTAACATTAAATGATTTTTTAGATATTTAACGATTATCATAATAATGTGGTCATATTTGACCAAAATTTGGACACATTCAGCATTTTAATAGATTCGCGATTATCAATTGAATCGCTATTTCTTGATTTATAAACACGTTCTGTCGTAAAAAAAGAAATAAAGGATTGAATGCGCCGCGTAAAAATGCACACTCAAAAAAGTGATCTTGCGAAAATTAAAGCGAAAATTATTTAAGTATGAAAAATAGCTAAAATAGATCATTTTTAGCAAGTACTGCGATATTGAATATTTATTTCATCTAATCATATAAATGACAGAGATAGAATTTAGATTTGTGCTATAAATTCTGTGATACATAATTTTCTATCAGACACAAAAAAAAAACAACTATAATTCTAGCTGGAGCAGCAAAATAATTTTTGCGTGTACGTTATTAAGTAACACGATCTATTATATAAAAAAATTAATTAATTATAAAGCTTATTTATTTGTTATTCTTATTTGTTACGCGATTATTCCGCGATGGGTCCGATGAATTCCCTAAATAGATAGCATTTAATAAAAGCAGAGTGAATTAGTATCTCTGCCAGATACGTGAATTAGACACATGGCCGTTTATCTGTTGCAAACGACGTTCCGTTAACGGACGATGAAATAATGGAGAAAACGACATTTCAAAA